CACCCCCCATCCCCTGCCCCCCGCCCTCACCTCCCAACCCCTCACCCCTCAGCCCCCTGCCCCCAGCCCTGCCCTACCAGGAGACTGAAGTCGAGGAGTGGAGCAAACACGGGCCGTGTCCCGGGGCGGGGTGAAGGGGCCATGTCCCGGGGCGGGGTGAAGTGGCCATGTCCCGGGGCGGGGTGAACAGGCCGAAAGGTGACAATACTAACTTTTCATTATCCTCATTCGAGTACACGTGACAATAAAGGCTATTCTGTTCTATTCTGTTCAAACAGCTGCAATGGAAGGAAAGCAACCACAGAATAGCCTGCTCTATCCTAATTAATGAGAACAGAGGTGGTTGGGTCGGTGATGTGTTGCAGCTGCAGTATGTGGGAGTTGGTGGTCCATGGTGCCCACATTTGTAATAAGTGCTGGTTGCTTGAGGAACTCCAGCTTATAGCTAATGAGCTCCAGCCTGAGCTCAGACACTGCGGCACTTCAGGGAGGGGTGTGGGGGGGATTCCTGGATACTCGTTCAGGAGGCAGTCAAACTCCTTAGATTAATTACATTGAATTTGGCCCAGGGTCAAGGCCAGGATGGTGTGACTGAGGCAAGGTTTTGTTTTAGCAGTGCCTTATCCTGTAGGGATGAGTTTCTTGTTCCTGATGTAGACAAGGGCACACACTATAGGGACCAAACTGACTATAGCAACATGGTACCATTAGAGTGGGGGAAAGAAAATAAGAGGGGCAATAACCCCAGCTCTTTGCAGCAGGGTCACTGTGATAAAAGGTGACAGGGGGAAGATTTAAAACAGACCTAAAGGGTAACATTTTCATGCAGAGGGTGGTGAGTGTGTATGGATCGAGCTGCCAAAGGAAGTGGTGGAGGTGGGTACAATTACAACATTTAAAAGGCATCTGGATGGGTAGATGGATAGGAAGGGTTTAGAAGGATATGGGCCAAATGCTGGCAAATGGGACTAGGTCAGATTAGGATGTTGGGTCAGTGTGGAGGAGTTGAGCTGGAGGGGTTGTCTGGTCTATATGGCTCTATGACAATGCCAATCCACGCTGAGGCTACATACTCACATCACGCAGATTGAAGGTAATCTCCAGATTGGACCAGAAATGGTCTGAGAATTCGGGGTACATGTCCAGTACCTCCAGGAGGTCCTCTCGCCGGATTTTGTGAAGGTCACAGTAGGTCAGTGCTCGGACATCAGCGTTGGATTTCCCAGGGCGAGCGTACATGTTAATTGGTTCCCCAAATATGTCGTTTTTACCTACAAACACAGAGGAGAGAAAAGGCAGGAATTGGCTGCATTGAACAGGAGGGGGAGCAGCTGGAGGCACTGAGCTGTGATTGAGGGAAGCAGGCAGTGAGCAGATTGACTAATCAGGCCACACGCCAAGCCAAGGACAGTCCAAACAGTGAGATTGGAAACTGGGTCTAAATTTCACCAGATCAACACAGAACCAGGCACAAGTACTGAGGGGGCAACGCGCTGTCAGAGGGTCAATGCTGAGGGAGCGCCGCACTGTTGGAGGGTCAGTGCTGAGGGAGCGCTGCACTGTCGGAGGGTCAGTGTTGAGGGAGCGCCGCACTGTCGGAGGG